ATTGGTATTGTAAGGAGAAATTCTGTCTTGGACACTCATGGAAATTAAAGGGTTAATTAAGTGTTCTCTGTTTTGAGAGTGCCAGGCTAGTCTTGTTCTAGGCCTTCGTGTTGTATTCACTGGCAGATGTGCTCTGAGTCCTGACTATTTGGTTTTCATGACAAGAAAGAGAAAAAAATAGGCTACAAAATTTGGAGTAAAATTATGACCAAAATGGAAACATAAATTCTGAAAGCTTTAGTACTTTATTTAGGATTTAAGGTAGACAATCATAGATTGGATTTTTAGAGCTTAGTGGCTGTGGAGAGGGTTTAAGACCTTAGGGAAACATATTTTAAATCATTTTATTTTTTATGTCTTTTTGAGTCAATGAAGAATTGTAAATAGACCTTGAATTGTTTGTGGATGTAGTCTAAAACCTAATAGTCATGGAGAATCCAAAAAGGATGTGATCTTGGTTAAAGGATGGTGAAGTTCAGGCCTTGTTCCACACTACAAACTTGAAAATTTAGTTACGCAAACAAGGGAAAAGCTGCTTCAACAGGTTTTTTTTGTCTCACATTCAGGTCGTGTATTTATGCAGAGAAGACATAATCATGGTAGGCGCCACAGGCCTCAGCAATTTCATGAAGAGGAAGAAAATGAGCCTGTAAGTCAATGTACAGAGATACGTAGGTAGCAAAAATCGAAACATTTTCTAACTCAACATCAAATTCTTTTTCTTTTTCTTTCTCTCTTTCAGCCGTTGTTGCACTCGTTATTGCAGTTTATGCCAATCTTGTTATTAGTAGGATTATCACTGATGAGTAGCTTTATGCTACAAGACCCGCCTTATTCATTATCTAGAACAGGGTAAGTGCACATTCCTGTGTTGCGTGACCGGATACTTGTCACTATGATAGTAACTGTATCTGATTGGGAAAAAACGGCGAACCATTCATAGCCCGACACGGCACCACATGGCCATACACAGCTAGAATATACCTTACTTAGCCTCGTTTAGTCCTACGGTGAACAGCCCCTCAAAGCTGTGGAATCAAGATTGTCCAGGATGCACGAACACGCACTTTTGTTTTGATATTTACTTTGCCTTTGAAGTTTTAGTTACAGTGACTATGCACAGTCATGCATTTATAATTATATGAATTAAAATTGGAAGTTGTTTAGAAAGAGTAACCTCTTCTGTTAAGAACTCACTAGGTTCCTTTGAATGATAATCATGACTTGGTTACAGGGAAGCTTACAATATCGTACTTTCTCTTTAAGAAAAAAATGTATGATGAATTCCTCAGTATCACAAAAGTACTCCTTGCGGTTATAGCAGTTTTGAATAATAACAATTTTTCCTTTAATTAACAAATACAATTAACGATCGATATTTCATTTTGCAGTTCTTATTATATTCAAAGAGAAACACCCAAACGCAAGATTCCTTTTTATGTTCAGGTATGTTACTCTATCTAATGATTTAATTGTTTGTTGATTTTAAAATGTTATATGAAAAGCTGTTTGTGCAGCACTTTATCCTTGCTTCAAATTCTGTTTCTTTCCTTCAAACTTATCATCACTGATCATTATGCTGAAATGCATAATGAACCAACCGTGAAATTTCGCCACGTCGCACGCTGTACAGGTTTTCAGAAATGCACCAATCAACTTGAATTTCTTTATTCGAAAGCAAAGCAATATCGTAAAGCAATTTATCAACAACCAGTGGAAGGGACAGAGATGCGTAGGTCAATACGCTTGTACCTATACGGAAACGTAATTGACGTACATTGTACATTCTAGCGGTACAGCATTTTGGGAACAACTCGTTCCGCAGCTGAGTGTAACTGTGTTTTTTGATTTTTATTTTCTACACCATACAGGAAGGATTCGAAGATCAATACGAAAATAAAATTCATATGATAGAAAAAAGAGTGGAAGATGACTACATAGGCCGACTCCAGTCCCAGTGCTACAGAGAGAGACAATACAGTAAGTATAGACGTAACCTGCAGTGATCACTGTGATCAATAATCATTATGGGGCGTTCAGTGGCTATTAAATTGAATGCAAATGGCTGGGCTATCGTAAAGCGACCTTTCTGAATAGACGTTGAAAATTGCCTCGAGTTTTAATCTTTTGATCGAAATTTTGAGGTGCCTGGTTTCTGTTTTCCCTAAGCGAAATTCGCTGTTACTTTGTCCTTGAGTATTGTACTGTTTGTTCAGTTTCATGTATTGTTGCATTACTGCAAAAAGCTGTTTTCAAGTTTTCATTTGCGTATGTTTTCGAGAATGCTTTCATTTGAATGCCGTAGTTGCCACTCGTAAGTAAGAGGAATCATCAGAAAAGACTATTGGGTAACCAGTGTTAAACACTGAAACGTGAGTAATCATGTTGCGATTGGGTTAAGTAAGTGCGTTTCTTTGTGTCAGGAATTTGCGCGAGATTTCGAGATCAGTCATGAAGCACAATCAAGGAAAGTGCCATCTATCACGTGAAAGGGTTGATTTCTGAAATATCACGCAATCTCCTCCACCGAGCATTACATGGCGAACTCATTAACGGCTTTTGTGAAAGCTTTGTGTCATAGAGCGCTCACTTTCACTCTGAATTATCACCGAGAAACCTAAATTGGATCTTTCCACAAATAGGCTGAAAACCTTCACTTGATTTCAGAGTAAAAGAAATTATTCCTGTTTGCTTCGGAAATTGAAATCCATCAAGTACGTGCTTCGGGTTTTGCGATAAAATGATAATTCAAAGACATTTTGTCCGGTTCCCGACTGGCTTTGTCTATTAGCTTTACTCTGTGTATCTTATCTCAGCGGACATTAATTCACCCCCGTGGATTTAATTTATAAACAACGCGATTTTCTTTGTCATCAGGCTCAAAAAACTGCAAAAATGAACTCAGCTTGACTTCACTGGCGTTTGTTTTTTTGATCTGCGTCTCCTCAGAACAATCAGTTTGCTTTAGAGATACATTATACATTGCCCCCGTTTTTCATTGAAATATTTTTTCCGATGCCGAAGGAAGATTATTTCCGTTTTAATGAAAGGTTCTTCGCCACAGGTGCAGATTCATGAGAGTTTTCCTCTTTCTTTATATACCACTTTCGATTTGCCCTAAATCAAAGTTATTTAGATTATTTTTTCACAGAAATCCATTGATCATTTGCTGTATTTGCTCCTCATTTTATCGTATTTACTTCTGTTTTCATTTCTATTTGCAAATTACAATTTTCTTTGCCACACTTCTGTACAAATTTTGTTTTTGTTTGACTTTCATGGGTAAAACTAATTAGACAGCGTCGTGTGCCCATTAAATGTTATTGTCATTTTTACATTATCGGTTTTTCAGTGCATAATCGCACATTTTAAAGTGAAAATTTGACAATTTTTCTCTCGACGTTTTTTTCCGCTCAAAGGCGCTAATGGGCTGGCCTTTGGAACTAACACACACAAACAAATTCCCTTCTTCAACAAATTTTAAGAAACACGTAGTTCCTTGTCGCCATTTCAAGGCAAGATTACCAACAATTATAATCCATCATCAAAGAAGCAAATCCAGTTAAGTGACTTCTCCGCTAGGACATCGTTTCGTGCAACCTTGTTTTCACAGAATCACGCATTTTGCCTTCCCTTTCTTGGTCGATTTTGCTATGGCGGCTCTCACTGCTTCATCTAGCACCTCCATGTAACCTCTTTGTTTCAGTGCAGAACATTCGATGTACTTTATAGCCCCAATTTTTTTCGCCATTTTCTTGGCTTCCTTGTGAGTGACTTGCCCGGTTGGGCGCTGGCTGCTGTGGCCTTTCCCGCGCTTTTTACTCTCTGTAGCATCGCGGAGATCCAACTTCGTCCCGATAAGAACGATGGGAGTTCGTGGAGCCAGTTGCTTGACCTCCTTGAACCATTTTGTCTCGGCATTGCGAAACGATTCTAAATCGGCAATAGAAAAACACACGCAAAACACATCAGTGCCAGGATAGTTCTGCTGTCTAGCGCTATCTTTACCCTCATGGCATTCCGTATCCCAGAGCTCTAGTTGATAAATTTTGCCGTTGACGTCCATGTTGGCAATGTAGGCGCTAGTGAAAGATTCTACCTGTTTTCGCGACAGTGTATTTGAACTGTAACACAGCTGCAGGAGTAAACATGTCTTCCCGATGCCGTTGTCGCCGAGGAAAACACATTTAACCTTTCTTTCGATGTCTGTGGCTTTGTCAGTAACGACTGTAACTCCCTCGACCATATTTTCAATTCGCGAAGATGGCACCTCGTCGGTTTTCGCTCACAGAAAATCCGGAAATTTCGTCAGAGTTTCACTATCGGTTTCGTCGCGAGCGATGATTGACAAGCCGCAAATATCCTTGAGCCGTGTCAAATATCAACCGGCGCGTGATTTTCGACCTTTTCGTTGCTGTGTCGTGTTGTTATTTGGATGAAATTTTGGATTTTATGCTCTTCATAATCAAGGAAATGAATGAAGACCGCACAGTAGTCTGAGCAGAAATCACACTGGCTCTCGCGTTCGGATTATTTGTAAACATTGTGTGATATGTGATGACGTTGTGTCGCTATTAGCATATGCTTCGGACTTGACAAGCAGTGGAAATAATTAATATCAAGAAAATACCTCCCATTTGATTGTTCGTGTTGTATTTCTATGTCAAAAATTTGGATTTATATTCAACTCAGAACATTTAGACAATTTTACAGCTTTCTGCTTGTGACAGAAAAATATTTAAAAACCTCGGCTTTGAATTATTAATAATCGCGATTGTATGTGTGATTTTAAATATTTGCTCTAGTCTCGGCGATTTATTTCCATTTTGTTCCATGAGCATGTTATTTTTGGTAAAGTTACGTTTGCCAAAAGCATTCCAATAATTCGGATCGTTTTCATTTCATCAGTGCAGTATATTTACTTTTGAATAAAAAAATCATTCGGGTTATTATTCTCAATGTTCCACTTTGTATTCAGCTCTGCAGGATTCCCCTTGTGTCCGTATAAATAAAAATTCTTCTTAGATCTCTGTAGTGTTATTTGGCGAATTTTGGATTTTGCCAGACATGTTTTTCGGAATATAGCGATGTCCTCGCGTGTGAGGCATCTTTGCTTCTCTACAAACACTGTGCAGTAACGTTGTATCTCGATGATGCTGTTTAGACCGCGATTGATGAAAGCTCTTCGATACGGCTCTCTTGCCGTTGTTTTATCATTGAAATATCTTTCAATTTAAAGTTTTGTCAATTTGAAAATGAACGTAAACAAGCTCGAATATATCTCGCCCGAAACCAATATAATGATATTTAAAGCTTAAAAGATTTGCATATTTTCCTTTTCTTTCCACCAGTAGACAATTTCCTTTGTTACTGATCGCTTTGTGAGCAAATAACAGGATTTAGTGGTTTCGTGTAGTGGTATCAGAAGTTTATCCAATAAATTTATTCCGGATTTAGCGAACTTAAACTGTTATTTTTT